TGTATTTTATGGAGAGTTTCATATCACCTCTATTTATTGAAATCTTTTAATACATCAATAGATCTTTTTTGTTGATTTAAGAAGGAGCACTCTAAAATCATGGGTTGAGATAGCCAAGTTGATCAATTTTTACATTCTTAACTCTTGAGAGCTACCTTTAGTTTCTTGAGATACCACTCTCTATACTGACTATTTTCAGTAGAACCTAAGGCTGTGTCTCCTTTCCTATGCTCTAAATCCCTTATTCAGTTCCTTATCTTCACATTACCCATATGAAGTCCCCCACTCAAAGTTCATAACCCTTTGGAAGTCTTCCTCCCTTCCCTTTTCTCTAGTAGTAAATTCAGGTGCAAAAAAGAGAAAGCACTTGATAAAAAAAAAATCACCTTTATGCCTATCTCTACATCTCTATGTCCACATGACTAATTGGTTTGTCTTTCTTTTTTTATTTCAGCATATTATGGGGTTATAAATGTTTAGGTTACATATATTGCCTTTGCCCTGCCTGAGTCAGAGCTTCAAGCATAACCATTCCCCAGACGGTGTGCACTGCACCCATTAGGTGTGAATATACCCATCCCCTCCTCCCCCCTCCACCTGCCCAATACCCGGTGAATATTACTACTAAATGTGCACATAAGTGTTGATCAGTTAATACCAATTTGATGGTGAGTACATGTGGTGCTTGTTTTTATATTCTTGTGACACTTTTAAGTGCTTGACATTTTCAAACCAAAGATCATCTGAGATAACTGTATGGGATGTTGAACACATATGTTCTTAGCAAAATCAATGTCACGTGTGTGTGTGTGTGTGTGTGTGTGTGTGTGTCTGTGTATCTTTAATAATAGCAATAATAAGAAAGTAAAATGAAATCCAGGAAGTCACATTTCTTACCTTGCCTGCATCCAGCCCTTAGGCCACAAGGGCTTCACCTCTGTCTCCATAAAGGATTTAAGATAATCCTCAGCAGATTGGCTTTTATTTGGCTCTAACTCATAGCATCCCAATTTGATCTCAACAAGGTTACATAACAAAGTTCTAAACAGATTGAAAAA